CTCCTCATTTTAGCTCAATAGTCCTTTTTAAATTTTTTTTTTTGTAATTTGGTAATTAAAATTTTTTTTGACCTTTTTATTTAACCAAGCAAATCCTATTGAGATCCCAGATCTATTTTGCAATTAATGTTAAACTGCTGAACAAAAACATCAAATTAAGCCGATTTGTTTTTGTTTCCTGCAGTTGTGATGAATAAAGAAATCATGTCACGCGTGGTGAGGAAGAGGCAGGCCGACCCTAAGGTGGTCCAGTACGTGTGGGCCGCCATCGAAGTCATTCGCAACCAGAAACAAATTGCAAACATGGACCGGATCTCCAAGTAAGTTCGCTGCAGATCAATATATATTACAATAAATAGTACTTAACACAACATGACTGTCTTTAGTAAAGACTGTGAAATGTTGACTTCCAGTTATAAACACAATGCTAATTGTGCTAGTTCTACTAGAGTGTTTTCAATAAGTTAGCATCTATGCTAACAGTGTTTTTTATTTTTATTTTGTTTTATTTAGGACTGCACATTGTATAAAAATTTATTTGTTTCACAAATTAATATTGCAGGGATTAAAAAAAGCAAATAAAAAGTACAAATTTGTGTGCTGTGAGTATTATGACAGAATACGAGTTTATTGCATCTCATGTCACAATATTCAACAATACAATCATGTTTTATTAATTTTCATGCAGCCCTACTTTTACTTTTAAATATGAAAGGTTGAAAAGACTTCTCCAAAACCTTAATTTGTTTGGCTTTGCGGTTATATTTTTAATCCATTGAGTAATCCTCTTCTTTAAAAAGCTGCAGTGCTGTTTATTTGGGCGTTTATCAGTAAAATATGTTGTTCACTGAATCAGTTGTGTATTGGAGCTCGAGTTTTGTCTTTGTTTGTTCATATAGTGAGTTCTGAAAAGCTGCAGTGCACAGATGTCGTTGCACCGAAGCAGTACAAGACACACAGATCGATACTTATTGTTGCGTTGCCGCTCCTTGCATGAAAACAGCCTTCTTATATCTGCAACCCCAGAATCTGTACGATGAGCTGGTGTTTCTGTGCCCGTCGTGATTTCACCTCATTGTTCAGACGACACAAASCAACAACAAACGCCTTCGCGGGCGGACTTTGTTGAGGAGTCTTTTCCCTTTCGGCCGGTGGACGGAGCGCAGACCGAAGTGAAAGACTCGGCTGCGTCTCTTTTTAGTAAGTTGGACGAGCACCCTGGGAGCTGGCTGCTCGCCGAATGAATGCTGGCGGCGAGCGGCTGTTGTCATGGCAACTGTAAGCAGCAGCATGCACCGGCTCTCCTCTTCCTTTCTCTCCAGCAGCCTCCGCCCTGTTCGCTTCCCTCTGCAGCTTCGTTTTGGTGAATAAAAAAGGTGAAGGGTGATGACTTTGGTCTGGTGGGAAGAGAGGAGGCTGCAGTCGGAGAATGATTAACCTTCTGCTCTGCAGGGACGAATCAATCAGTTACTTATTGTCAAAAAATATAAAGTGTGTTTAGCTATTCACTTAAATTAAACAACAATTAAACAAACATTTAAAGCACAGATATAGGCTTTTGTTTGTTTTTCAGTAGCTGCACAGGTTACGTTAAAGTGGCTGTGACGTCAGATTTTTGTAATACATGTGAATGCATTTTTAGAAAGAGGACATTGATAAAATACTACAAAATAAATTTCATGTCGTTGAGATGAACAGTTGTTGAGATATTTGCCTGTGAAGTAACAGGAAGTGATGTCATAGGGGAATGTCTGCAATGAACAGAGCGTTGTTACAGCAGCCAACAACCCAGACTGTAGAGAAGAATCAGATGTTTCTTTAGATTTTGAGTCACTATCAGATGAAGAGTCAGAAATTAAATAATATTGTTTCAATAAACGAAGACCAGAGTTTTCTTTGTTAAAGAGTTCCCCTTTGATGTCACTTCCTGTTTCACTTTGGCTCAGCCAAGTTCAAAAGAAAATCTACCAGTTATGGGACAAAATGGGTTAAATCGTGTGTATTATTCCAACTTTCTTAAATATAAAGATGTTTTCTTTTGACTTTTTATTTGAAGAATATGCATGTCACAGGCTTTTAAAAAACAAGTTTATTAAGTGGATATTTATGAAAATGGGATACTATAGCAAAACAGCTATTTGAAGTTTGACATATATCAGCAAATTTGATATTATTTCAGGAAATTAAACAGCCTATTTCCAACATAACTGTTATTGACTTAATTTTTAAATCTAAAATGCAAAACAGAAGCTGGTTCTGTACTCTACATAGTGAAAATCTGCTGGTTTTCTTTGTCCTCTTAATGAAAACGACACAATTTATCCATTTTTTTTCAAAGAGTAACCCAGAAAATGAGTGGAAGCTGAACAATAAGCTGATGAAGCACCAATTATTAAGACGTCCTTTAGCTTCACTGGCCCATTTCTCTCAATTATGTCTGATTCTGTGCCGAGCGGTTTCATACACCAGCAGCAGGATTATTGGCTAAGTTGGCTTCAACTCTTGTCTCGTGTTTCCTCTTTGCACCGTGCTTACTCATTAGTGTGAGTCTCCTTGGGTGTTAAACGATATTGTCAACAAAAAGGATTGCCTCGTCCTCTCGTATTGTTTTCTATCCTGTGTTTGATTAACTTTATAAAGTAACCCGTTGTGCAGATAGATCAAAGCTCACAATTCAGCAGCTGCTCGTTGTGCCAACCAAGTTCTTGACGTCCTTCAGATTTTGGCGGTGATAGGTGTTTTTCCTAATCATATACAAAAACAGGGGAGCAAATGAAACAATCAAACCAGGTTTAGAATCAAAGTGAGGAGAACGCTGGACAGGAAGTCTCTTGTACACCCAAATCCACCGTTCTCAGAGACCCCCTGTAGTTCAACCTCTTTTATTTAGTTTTTCACGCCCCTAGTTACATTGGGTCATGAGACTGCCTAAGGGAGGGGGGAAAATGCAGACCTCATGACAGAACATTATTTGATACAAGACAATTAATAAATCATGCAAGCTAGACACTTTCGCTTCTGCTGCCCCCGGAGCAGATGGATGCTTCAGAGGACAAGCATCAGTTCAGAGTTCAACTTCCTCTCCGATTACTGCAACTCAGCAAATCTGCTCACAGATGGAAACATGTGACATTATCAAACCACCAAAATTAAGCAATGATTAAACTCTTAAAATAAGGAAGTTGACCCAAGCTCTCACTGCCAAGTATTTTGAATGATGAAAACAACCACCACCTCAACTTTGTTCTAACAGGCGGGCATCTTTTCCTGGGGAGAATAATAGCTACAATTACACCTCCTTAGGAGATTTTTCTCATTTATATCTCGGCAGGTACCTGAGCCGTGTTTTTGGCATGCACCCAAAGGAGACTGCCAGGCAGCTGAGCCTGGCTGTGAAGGACGGTCTGGTGGTGGAGACCCTCACTGTTGGCTGCAAGGGCTCCAAGGCCGGCATTGAGCAGGAGGGCTACTGGCTGCCGGGAGACGAGATGGTAAGCTCTGTCGCAGTCTGCCAGCTTTGCAACACACATAAAAAAATAATAATACATTTTTAGGTTTATTTATATCTAGAAAGATAATTGAAAAGGCTTTTGTTACACTTGTGTTCACACTCTGAGCAGTATTTTTAAAGATATATGGAAGTCCAGCATCCAAACAGCTAAATTTTGAAGTAACTTTTAAAAGTTTTGCAGCAGTTCTCCCTGATTATTCCTTTTCTCATAAATTACATAATATTTATAATAATTTATCTGACTTTCTAATCTTAAATATAACCCTTAGGGCTGCAACGATATAGAAAATTCACGATTCGGTTCGATATCTTAGTCTCACGGTTAGATATTTTTTTTGTCGATACAAAAAAAAGAGAAATGTCCATGCCCTTCTTAACTTGCAATTTATTGAAATTAATTCTGAACATTTGTTTAACCTCAAAAGTCCAGTTTTTAAATTAAATGTTGCTGAAGCAGCAAGTTTCTCAGTGGATCTGTGCTCCACAGTGCAGCCTAGGTGGAGTAGTCGAACACAGATCCACTGATCCTTCAACACAGAGCATCTTCAGAAGACAAGTTGATAAAATAAAATTAAAAAGTCTGTATTGTTCCATACATACTGATACATAGTGTGTATTGAACGGTTCCATACAGATACATGTATTGTTGCGCACCTAATCACCTTTTCCATAGTTTGTAAAGTACTCTGAAACGAAGACAACAAAACAGTTTTAGAAACAGTCTGTGAATGAAAACAACTGTTCTTGTATTCAGTCATCACTGATTTAACTGTGAATGAAAACGTGATAAATGCTCACCAGCAGATAGAGAGGAAACAAACAAAATGTCCCGACAGAAACGGATAGCTACGTGCGACGTGTTCATGTCATTACCTTCTGTTAACTCGTAGACAGTGATGAGTAACGTGTGCCACAACAGACGGCGATGAGGACCTCGTCGCCCATCTGTTAAGGTGCTCACAGTGTGAACACAGGGTTAGGAGTCACTGCATGAACAAATTGCTCATCATTCTTAGGCTCGTTAATTTTTTTTTCTTAGAAAGCTAAAGAATGATGAAGAGGAATTTGGTTAATATGTGCCATAATGATGATGGAGCACTTTTATTTTGGCTTAATCACTGTGCAATAAAACACTGTGTCTCAAAAAATCAGATTTTTTGCATGCAGTGTTGTTTATTTTGTTGTAATTACCTGTTTTAGTTAGCTTGTAATGGTTATTTTTAATAGACCATTTCGTAGTTAGAAACATGCAGGGYGCTGGCTTTTCCAGGTCACAGGTGAACTGGATAAAAGCTGAGGTTGCTTTATTAAAACTCTGTTGGAATTCTGCAAACTCAATAAGCTCATAAAGCACGTTTGGATATTTATGAAAAATCACATTTATGATCCTAAAGGAAAGTTTAACACTAGTCAGTTTAAAGGAAAGTTTAACACTAGTCAGTTTAGAGCAAATACAGTCGGTATAACAGCGTAAATTTACCTGTTGAATTTGTTAGGGATGCACCAAAATGAAAATTTCAGCCGATATTGATATTCGATATAATTATTGCTGTTATGGCCGATAACCGACATTACACAAACACACAAATTATATTATACAAATATGCACAAACATGGGTCTTTTTTTATACCGTAAATAAACAACCAGACCTCTGACATGACTACTTTAGTTATTCCTGGCTGCGCAGCATCAGTATCACTATCATGATCAAACAGATGTCGTTMAACCAATCATGTCCCCTCCCAAAACAGAAACACAAAGATAAAAAGTGAGAAATCAATATTGGACATTAATGTCGACCCAGTTTTACATATCGGACAGATACGATATTCTAAAAAATGACCAATATCGGCCGATACTGATATTAGTGCCGATGTATCRTGCATCCCTAGAATTTGTGCAGTTACAGTGGCATTTCCATAGGAACCTCAGCTTTTTCTCGATAAACCTCTGAACGTGAAGTTGGCCTGSTTCATTTGTGATCATTTCTAACTAGGGCTGTGTATTGGCAAGAATTTGGGTTATGATACATATCATGACAGAGGGGTCACGATACGATATATCCCGATGTATTGCGATTCTATAAGCAAGGCGATATATTGCGATTTTTTTGTCCAAAAATTCTATTAAATAAAAACCTCTTACAGTAGAAAAAAATGAAAAACCAAAATTCATTGTCTCAGAAAATTCTAATATTAC